CAGAGCAGGGACACCGGAAGTGCATGGTGACACCAGGGACCTCAGAGCAGGGACACAGGAAGTGCAGGGAAACCCAGGGACCTCAGGGCATGGACACAGGAAGTGCAGGGTGACACCAGGGACCTCAGAGCATGGATACAGGAAGTGCAGGGTGACACCAGGGACCTCAGAGCAGGGACACAGAAAGTGCAGGGAAACCCAGGGACCTCAGGGCATGGACACAGGAAGTGCAGGGTGACACCAGGGACCTCAGAGCATGGATACAGGAAGTGCAGGTGAACACCCAGGGACCTCAGAGCAGGGACACAGGAAGTGCAGGGTGACACCAGGGACTTCAGAGCAGGGACACAGGAAGTGCAGGGAAACCCAGGGACCTCAGAGCAGGGACACAGGTAGTGCAGGGTGACACCAGGGACCTCAGAACAGGGACACAGGAAGTGCAGGGTGACATCGGGGACCTCAGAGCAGGGCCACAGGAAGTGCAGGGAAACCCAGGGACCTCAGAGCAGGGACACAGGAAGTGCAGGGTGACACCAGGGACCTCAGAGCAGGGACACCGGAAGTGCAGGGAAACCCAGGGACCTCAGAGCAGGGACACAGGAAGTGCAGGTGAACACCCAGGGACCTCAGAGCAGGGACACCGAAAGTGCAGGGAAACCCAGGGACCTTAGAGCAGCGACACAGGAAGTGCAGGGCAATACCCTGGGGTCCTGTTGCAGGGACAAGGGAAGCAGCCCTTTGTCTCAGCAGTGGCACTAGATGGTACTAGATGCCCAGGCGTCCCAACAAGCCACCGAGGTTCTCATCTTTTCCTCCCTACGTCACTGTGCTGTGGGAAGGTGCACTCCAGCCTGCAATGCGAGAAGAAGCGAAGATTTCCACGGCGCTAACCATTTCAGGGCCCAGACAGCAGTCAGAACTGGAACAAAGCGGTATGTGTTTTTCCAATGACAGCTGTCTCCTTCTCCGAGGACCGGTGGCCTCATGGCCTGGGAACATCTTCTCGTGGGACAATTTACAACCATTCAGTTTTTTTGTTTCCTGGTTAAACCTGGTAATCAGATACACAGAGAAAACCCCAGCCTCGTGTCTCTCAGAGGAATCGCAAGGAATCCTACTGTTGTAGCCACAGACACAGGAACAATGAGGTCCTGGGACTGTGATGAGCACTGGGCTCCGTGCCCTCAGACTTGGGTGGGCCCGGGAGTCAGCATCAGGTCATCATTCGTGGGCATAGGTGTCCTGGCCAGGATGGGGCTGGTGGTGCCTGCGGGCTCTTCTCTTTGTCTCCTCCTTTCCTGGATATATACCAGGTAGCACCCCCACACTTAGTAGCTGCCCCAACATTTCATGGCTTAAAAGGATGATTATCTAGTTAACTCACAGTTCTGCAGTTTGGGGGTTTACGTGGGGGATGGGGGAAGGTCCGCCCTCCCACATCTGTGCTCGGACCTGCTCTCTCCCTCACCTGCAGTCTTGGCTGGGACACATGCTGACATAGACTTGGTTCCCTGGCCCCTCAGCCACCAGCCCGCTGGTCTGGCAGCTGGTCTGGCAGTTCACAAGGATTTGGGCAGAAGGTCAAGGATGAGGGGAGATGCACACAGCACCCTGGAGTCCTGGGACTGGCTTGGGGTCGCTTCTATGCAGGTCAGAGCCAAGGCCAGTTCACCCTCCAGGAGGGGCGGTGGTTTCAGCCTCTTTCTGGGAAGACCTGCCTCATCACCAGCCAAGAGGGGGGCTTCAGGGAGGGGCTGTCCCGGGGTGGTTTCTGCAAAGCTTCCCCCAGGCCCACTGTCCCCACCTTGTTCCTACCACCCAGCCAGAGGGTTTGCAGATGCAGCCCCCTGGGTGACACCCACCTCCCCAAGTCACCCAGACACTCCTGTCACCTTGACTGTCTTGGGGGTGCCTCACCCCCCACCACATCCTAGTAGCCCTCACAGGGGTCCCTAAATCAGGGCTTAACTCCAGGCCCACCAACCTTTGTGCCAAAACCCATGGAAGCAGATGTGTTTTAGAGTTTGGAATTTTTAGGTTTCAAAATAATACATCTGTATGTTATATACATGTATGTACCCATATACGGGCTTCCCTGGGGGCTCAGATGGTAAAGAATCTGCCTGCAATGTAGGAGACCTGGGTTCGATCCTTGGGTGGGGAAGATCCCCTGGAGAGAGGAATGGCTACCCACACCAGTATTCTCATGTGGAGAAGCCCATGGACAGAGGAACCTGGCAGGCTACAGTCCATGGGGTCGCAAAGAGCCAGACACAACAACTGAGCAACTAACATCTTCATATAGCACAGCCTCTGGGCATCACTTTGTAATCAAGCACATTAATCTTTCTTTAAAAATGTTGCTCTTCACACTTCGTAGGTAAGGACCATAAACAGCCCCACATGGCTAAAGGCCCTGCTGCCCCGTGAGCCAGTGGCCTTTGCCTGCCACCAGTGAACCACAGCAGGGGAGGGACTTCGGTTTTCAGAATGTCTTGGACCCAGAAATGCAGAGAAGGGATTGGAGATCTTTGTCAACTTCTGCACAGACTGGTCTCCACAAGGGAGGAGCTGCACCACCTCCTGGCCCCATCCTGGCCCCATCCTCTTCTCTGTACTAAGCAGAGGGTCCGAAGCCAAGATCCTCAGGAGGGTTTGAGATAATAAGCTAGCAAACAACCCCTGTGCAAGCCCTTGAGACGTGTCCCCTCTGCAGGTGGTTAATTCCTCCTGTTGGAAACCAGTTCTCCTTAACTTCATTGTCAGCAGTTGACAGATTCTGACCCAGCCACATGTTCTGTTCATGCAGGGGACTTGCAGACCCAGACCCTCTGCATGTCCCTGGAAATCTATAGATATCTAGGCAATGACTGTGTTATATGGCATGTTGTATTTGGAAAGCTGGCAGATACCACCCAGGGCGTGACTAGGCACCAGGAGGCAGGGCTGGGAGCAACTAGAAGCCTTCTGGTCTTTCCCGGGCTGACTGACCACCTCACGTCTCAGCAGTCAGCGATGGCTGTGCTTGCTCTGAGCTTTGCTTTTCCACACCAGTCGTTCAGAACATTTCCTAGACGTCCTCCAGGGCAACCGCATGGTTCTAGGTTCAGGGGTTCCCAATCAAGGGGAGTGCTGCGCTTAGTCATTCAGTCGGATCCAACTCTTTGTAACCCCGTAGACTGTAGCCCGCCAGGCTTGTCTGTCCCTAGGGATTCTCCAGGCAAGAAAAATGGAGTGGGTTTCCATGCCCTCTCAGGGGATCTTCCAGACCCAGAGATCAAACCCAGGTTCTTGCTTTGCAGATTCTTTACCATCTGAGCCACCAGGGAAACCCAAGAATACTCGAGTGGGTAGCCTATCCCTTCTGCAGGGGAACTTCCTGACCCAGGAATCAAACCGGGATCTCCTGCATGACAGGAGGATTCTTAACCAGCTGAGCTGTCTGGGAAACACATGTACGTTGGGATGATACACACTTGACATGTGTGTGATTTGTGGCGTCAGAACAGCTTGAACACATTCTAGAACATTTCAGAAGGAACTCTCCCTTCTGCACGAGCTCCCCAGAGAGCATTTCTCCAAGGAAGGTGATTTGAACTGGAAGGCAAAGACAGACAAAGGCATTTTGAGGCAAGGAAGGCTCGGAAAGTCTTTTCAGGTGGGGAGAAAATCCTGTGTCAATGTTTGAACCTTGGTTGGGTGTGCTTGAAACATGGGGCGTTTATGGAGTCAGGAGCGGGACAGGTAGGTTTAGTGTTCAGGTTGATTACCGCATCAACTAAAAATAGGTCGCATGCTCAAAGCTAGATAAAAACAATTTTAAAGCAATCTGATATAAATTCAGTGCAACTGCTAATGTTAATGATACAAAAAGTGGAAGATCAAGTTTCCATCCTAATCGTAATAAGCATAATTTATTGCAGAATTACTGTGTCAAGGATTATTCTTTCTTTCCATCTGTCAGCTCATTTAGTCCTTGTCAAATCTAGATATCCATCAGCATTGCCATCATCCCTGATCAACAGATGAGGAAGCTGAGGTTCCAGGAGGCAAAGTAATTTTCTGACAGTCACACACAACTTAGTGACAAAGTCAGGAGCTGAACCGAGTCCTCTGGCTCCTGAGCAGACACAAGGCCCCAGCAGGGAACTGAAGTCTGCACCACGTGCAGTCCCCGTAGGAGGACAAGACACGTGCACAGCCTTAGAGGCAAACGTAGAAGAACAAACGCAATTTAACGCCAAAGCAAGAGGGACCAACAACATATGCTGGGGGCGGAGAGGGAGCTGAAAACTGCAGGAAGCGTTCGGAAGGGTATGTGCCTCTTTCCCCAGGATTATTATTTTAGACTCATTATCTGTTCTGTTGGTGCAGATAAGTTCTCCCAGAGCCGCATCTGAGGCATAAAAGTGATGAATATATGACATTCTGCAAATTAAACTGTACTTTTTCCTGTGGCAACGTGTGTGTCTGGGTGCGGGTGCCCATGTGTGGAATTTGGGGGTGCTTGTATGTGTGTGTTTGGTTGGAACTTAACAATAAAGTGATCACAGCAAGTGGCTCGCCTGGGGGCAGGGGGTGAGAACTGTTTGCAGAGCATGGAGATTTCTCGATTGTTTCCCATGTTGCAGAAAGTTGAGCTGCATTGGTAAACTGCCAGCTGGCAGGTGGGACAGGCAGCTCTGTCCCAGTCTCTGGGCACAGCGACTGTGCTGCGTTTGTAGCTAGATTAATTAGCAAGTATCTGATAAAAGCAGAGGCGACGTATTTCTTGTTCTGGAGGTGTCACGAGTATGTGAAGTTGTTACTTTAGATCCCAGGATGAGCGGTAAGACGCAGAACGGCTTTAGTGCTGTTCAGCCCTGCAAGACAAGGAAGCAGCTGGGAAACCAGGGAGCCTGCCCGAGGCCCCGGCTGAGGCCAGCGGGGTTCGTTCAGGGTCGTGAGGACAAGTGAAGTCAGAGGGCATCCCCGAGGAGGAGGCCCTACCCCATTCGCAGGAAAACCCCAACCTGCCTGCCCAAGGCCCCGGCCGAGGCCAGCGGGGTTCGTTCAGGGTCGTGAGGACAGTGAAGTCAGAGGGCATCCCCAAGGAGGAGGCCCTACCCCCGGCGCAGGAGAACCCCAACCTGCAAGCCCGGCGCCCAGCCGAATGGCTGTTCCCTGTGAAGCTCAGCGTCCGCAGCGGCTCTGGCTCACGGGGGCCACCCGCCCGGACCTGACACGCGTGTTTGGAAAGCCCCTCTGCGCTCCTGTGATGGGGCTGGGAGGGCGGCCCAGACCGCAGCGTCTGTGGCTAAACTACATTCCACTTTCTGTGCCTCGGAAGACGGCTGCTGTTCTTTCTTCTCTCTGCTCGGCCCACGTCACGCACAAGCTTGTCAGCCACCCTTCTGCTCGTCCACACATACATGCACAGACATGCACAGTAACACACGCCACAGCTACACCTACGTGTTCACTCACACACACACACACACACACACACTAGCTCAGACTGGTCCCGTTGAGAGGACTTCCTGGGACTGCAGACTGCTCTCTGCGCTGCTCGCTGTGTCACCTGCCGGCAAATGAGCTGGTGGTGGGGGGTGGACTTTTAATGTAATTGGAATGTAATTATTTCCAGTTCTAGGCCCTGGCTTATGGCTGCCAGACTGGCCAGCCTGGCCCTGAGATGGAAGCCCCGAGGGGACGGGACTTTGCCTCGCCTCCTTCTGTCCTGCGCGGGGTCTTCCAGACGTGCTTGTCCACTGGGTGACTGAGGCCATCAAAGGACAGGGCTGGGCCACTTGGAGCCGCCTGGACGCTGTTACCCGCCCCCAGCCCCATCCAGGCCTGCACGCCCATGCTGAACGCTGGCCACCTAGTAAAGAGGCCGCCTCCGTGGCAAGCAGCGTTCCAGTTGTTGCTGTTGTCTGGGGGGCAGGTCACAAGCCCACCCCTCAGGGCCTTCCCAAAGCTGCAGGCGCTTCTTCCCCACCAGCGCCCAGGGAGATGAGCTCCTTCCTGCGTTCACCCGGAGGGAAAAGCAGGACTCCGGTGCGTCATCATCTCCCTTATCACAGGTTCGCATCGTGTCCTCGGCGTCCTGGCGCCCGGCTCCCTCCACCCCACCGGGTCTCAGCTTCCGCTGGTTCTGAACACCCCCCACGCCACCCTGCTCAGAGCCGGGGGTCCCCCGCCACCCGCCCCTCCAGTCTCCTCACGCTCCTCCCCCTCCCCGGGCTCCTCTGGCGATGGGGCGTCTCCCCGGGGTGGCAGCCCGGGCCGTGGGTGTCATTTTTGGTAGAAACTGACCGCAGGCAGGACCGGTGCTGTCTGTGGTCAGATGCCGTGTGTTTGGGGTGGAGACACACACAGGCCAGCGGCTCCGTGGGGTCGGCAGGACACACTGTGCCCCTCGCCGCTGCGGTCACTGAGATCGTGTGACCTGCGCCCGCAGACGGGCCGCTGCCGCAGCCTCCCATCCTGTCAGTTCTTTTCAGGCGAAGTCGGGCAACCGCACGTTTGGAAGGAAAACTGCCCGGGAAGCCCGACCCCCAGTGCTCCTGCGCAGAACCAGAGGCCAGCCGGCCTCCGCGGCCTTGGCTGGGGTCCACTGACTGTTCCGACCCGAGCGGGAGACACGCGGCCCCAGAAGAGCAGGCCCGTCCGCGGGCCGACCCCTCAGGGCACACCAGCCTGTGCGGGGCCGCCCTACTTGAGAGGGCCCAGGCCCCTAGTCCCCCGCGGACCCCCGGGAGCTGCCGCAGGGCGCAGTACCTGCCCAGGGGCCGCGGGGCCTCCAGGACCTCCTGCTGCAGCCCCGAATCTCCCTCCCCACCTGGCCCGGGCCTCGGCCCCGCCTCGGCTCCGTGTTTGGGTCCCAGCCTCCCCCTCCGCCTCCACCCGCTTCCCCCTGGCCCCACCGAACAAGGGCAGTGGTGGGGACCCCGGAGGGTGTTGTTAGGGCTGCCTGGGCTCACAATGGCCCCGGCCGGTGATTGGCAGCTACTTACACTCAGCCTCCCACTGAGCTACTGGCGAGCGTGCCTCTTCTGTGCAATTTTAAACTGCTCCTGGCCTGAATATTAATATGTGAGGTCCAGTACATGGAGAAAAATAACGGTGTTTAAACCCCCTTGCCGTGGGATCTCTGCACAGCGAGGTGATTCTGAAGTCCCGGAAAGGTCTTAGTCAAGGCGACCTGAGGCAGACAGGTGAAGGCTGGGGTTTGCTCCATGTGTGTTCATATTCTTCGTGGGCCCGTCTTAGTGAAGACGCTGAAGGGACTCCGCTCACATCCACATAAAGCGTGATTGTTGCTTAATCTTTTCTCTTTCTACCCTAAGTGCATTCAGACGGCTTGTAAAAACTTGTCACGGGAGGGATGGTTGGAACCAATTATACATAACAGGTCATTCTGCATGTCTGAGTGTGAAACAACTCTTGCTTTTAATATCATCTTGGTGTGTGATTTTTTGAAGGTAAATGGTCTAGAATGTAAGAAAGCGTGATTTTTTTTTTTCTCATTTAAAAAGATTAGGTCTTATCTTTCCATCTGCAAAATCAACAGGTTTAAACTTCTGAAAGACCAGCATGGGTGGTCAGGGTTGGAATGTGGGCTGGACTGTGTGAAGGCCACCCGTGGCCCCAGAGCTGGGGAGGGTCTGGGACTCATGGGGTCTGTCGTCCCAGCCTAGCCCTCCCCAAGCCCCCCTGTCATCTACCCTCAAGGGTGGACCCTGCAGCCCATCCCCCAGGTTCCTCTGATTGGCCTCCGTCACACCGGGTGGAGTCTGTCCACCTGACCTCCCTGTGGGTGGCACCCTCGCCCACTGCCTGAGGGTGCTAGTCAGCTGTCTCTGTGAAGTCCGTTCTTCCATGTAGCCGTCGGTCCTCCTGGGATGGAAGCCGCCCTGCACAGTCCAGGCTGAGGGAGAAGAGGGTGAAATAGTCGCATAAATTCCACAAATTGTTTCACATTCCTTTGCATGGGAGACGTGTCTCTCCACCCTCATCTAATAATTTTTCTATTATTTATTTGCATCGCTTGCTGTGATCACATCCTTTTTAAAGAACTACCACTCATGACTAATGCTTATGAGGTACACGCCGCATGCTCCGAAACGGCCTCTCATTTGCTAAAAACAAGCAGGGGTCTAGGGGACGACCCTTAACATACCAACATGTGGACTTCCTTAGTACCTTCTAGAAAGAAATGTGTGCATTTAAAGCCGCATATCCCTTTCCATAATCTCATTTATGGTGCTCATTATTCACACACACACCGCAAAACCAGTCTTAGGGATAGTTTCTTGATATTTACCTGCCTCTCTGACATATAGTTCAGTCACTCATGTTGGGAGTTTATAGCTGTGTGAATTAAACATAAATCTGCAGAACATGATACCATTCTATGTGTTTGGCAATCCGTTGGTCCCACCTATTTTCATGAGTTTTCAGTGCTGGAAATGAGGCGGGAAACCAGCCGGCAGGTATGTCTCCCTGGGAGCCCCACCGCAGCCCCGGCGGGCCGGCAGCCAGGCCTGTGTGCCAGCCGCTCAGTCCTGTCTGGTCTGCGCTGCCCCAGCAACTGTGGCCCACCCGGCTCCTCTGTCCGTGGGACTTCCCAGGCAAGAGGACTGCAGTGGGTGGCCGTTTTCTTCTGCAGGGTATCTTCCCGACCCAGGGGCTGAACCCGCATCTTCTGCATTTCCTGCACTGGAATGTGCATTCTTAACCACCATGAAACCAGGCACCTGTGAGTAAAGAAGGGGAAAGGCTGTTGCCCCAGGAACAGTAATGGGACGGCGCTGTGCATAGGGCTGCGATGCAGATGCGAGTACGGGGCGCTTTCCAAGATGTGTGGCCGGCACGCGCTCTTCAGTCACTTCACTCTTGAGCCACCGTGGCAGGCGTCGATGTGTAATGGTGTCTTTGCGCTCAATTTGTAGGTAGAAATAGAGCACAAATGCAGTACGTATTCCCGGTAATATGTAATTAGCAGCTCTTAGAGGTTTGCAGACCTGCTCACAACCTGTAACAGCGTATCACACCCCCTCCTTCAACAGCCCAGGGTAGGAGGGACAATTAGGGAGCTCGGGAACCACGGTCAGCTCCACCCCAGAGGGGGCATTTCAGGGTGAGAGGCGGCGAGACCAGGTCTGAAGCTCTGAACTCGTAAGCGGTTAAGCTCTGAGGAGTCGGAATGTGGATCTCAGGACTGCGCTTCCACCACGGCAGAACTCTCGGGGACAAAAGGCTGGCTTCTTGGGGAGCCACCGTGACCCCCTTCAGGCGCCTTCTGGGAAGCGTTTCAGTGCAAAATCAGGCGTCTGGCTGCTGAGGCTGCGGTTGCCCCCGGCCCCTACCTGTTGCGATTGAAGCGCTGACTCTGATGCTACTGTGACAGGGGAGGACATTTCCCTGTTGAGGCCCCTCTCGATCCCTAACAGGGAAGCACGTTTAAAGCCCAACTTCACCCCGCGTTTTCCAATCCAACTGACCGGTGCCCGACGTGAGGCTCTTCGTGTGTGGAGCCCACCCTCAGCCAACATGGGCTCGGTCAGCACAGGTTAGTCCCACCTCGTTTCCAGGCTGAGCCCCCGGAACCCCACCTTGTGGAGGCCCTAGGGTGGATGGGGAGCGACCCTCCCTCTCTAGAGCTTAGAGTCTAGCGAGGAACGCAGACATTGCCCAAACCTTCGCATTCATCACATGCACCAGTCCACCCACCCTCCAGCAAGTGTGAACAGACCGTGGGTTGGGGTCCTGCAGGGCGGGCAGTGAGCACAGGAAAGTTCATCCTGAAGCAGTGACGTGGGCGGGAGCCCCAAAAGAACTAGAAGATTCCAGGAAGGAGAACCGCCTGTGGAGGCTGTCGAGAAGCATCCAGGATGGTGGAAGGAAGGAGAAGGTCAGGCAGGACGTGAGGGGACCCCCCCCCCACGCCAGTGTGAAGCTGATGCCGGGGGCTCCCCGGGCCCACGGACCCCAGCTCCCACACCACTGTGCCCCCACGCTGCTCCCGCTCCCCCGGGCTGAGCGGGTGCTCCCTACCCTCTGCACCTGCTCTCTGCAGACACCCCGGGCTCACTCCCTCCCCGCTCCTGCTCTTGTTCAAAGACACCTCCCAGTGGGACCCCGGCACCCTGCTCATCCTGATTGCTGCAGCCTGGGCCACTGTTCCCGAAGGACGTTTCTAACAGACCTCTGGCTTTCTCAGTTTTCCTTCCATGTCTGACTTCCCCTTGGAAGTTCATCTCTGCGAGGCAGGCATTTCTCTGACTCTTCACAGATGTCGCCCTAGTGGCCGGAACAGTGTGTGGTTCTCCACAAATGCTGCAGAAAGGGCCGTAGAAGCCCCGCGAGGGGCCTGTGGCAGGACAGTGGCCCGGCAGCACAGGCAGAGGGACTGTCCCCTGCAGCGGGGGCTGTGAGGGGAGCCAGGGCCCGCACACGGCCAGGGAGGGTTTGGCCCAAATCCCATTCGCTGCTCTTCCCGGAGGCTGCAGTGTACATGTGGCCACAGTGAGAATACTGGCTGTAAAAGGACTTTTCGGACTTCCAGGCAAAAATAGCCCTTGCTTAAAAATTACATGAACTCTGGAGAAGAAGCCCCAGAATCGCATTTTTGAAGGTTCGACCCCATGACCTAACAGCAGTGCCTGGATCACGCCTCTGTGGGCAGAAGCAGGCAGCTCTTAAGGGCTGGCCATGCCTCCCACCAGCTTCAGGTGAGCCAGAGAAAGCCTAGAAACTCAGCAAGTTGAGTCCCACAGCATCGCTGAATGCAGCACTTGAGAAGCCCGGAGAACCCTGGGTGTGCCGGAATCAACGCGAGGATCCAGGTTTCACTGCAGAAAACAAGCTCCTTCCCCTAGGAGATGAGGAGGCCCCCAGACCCTCGGCATAAACCGGAGGTGGCGGGGACTCGGGCTGCCAGAAAGGGACTAACCGCTGCTCAGAGCTTGGGGGTTCTGGGGGCAGAGCTGCTTCGGGTCCTGAAGGTGGAATGACTTCCTGCCCGGAAGTCATGTGGATTTCCTAGGTCTGTCTCACATAAAAATGCCCCCAGTCAGCACCGCAGTTATGCTCCCAAGGAGGTGACTGGTCCTGAGAGCGGGAATGCTGGCAGGAGACAGGTGTCCAGACTCTATTTATAGAAGTGTGTATGTGAATGCGGTCTCGGGGGAAACTATAGGGAAAAATAAGAAGGAAATACTCCCGCTGGAAAACTCTCAGACTGCCTGCATGATGAGGGTCAGACAAACATCCCCACGGGCAGTGGTTGAGATGCCTGTACCCTGCGGGGCTCCAAGTACGGTCCGCAGAGGCCTGGGGTCTCCCAGAGCTGACAGAGTGTCCACAGAATCGGAACCACTTGCACAAGTCAGGGCCAGCCTCCTGGCTGGTGCTCAGTGGTGCACCCTGGCCCTGTGACCTGCCCTTAGACGAGGGGCCCTGCCCTGGGCCACGCAGTTCTCTAACTGGTCCTGATGCCCACACTCAGTCAAGGGCTGGAGTTCTCGATCAGGACGGGGGTCCCTCGCCCTCCCTGCGGGGCTCACCTTGTAATGGAGCGGGGGAGGCCCGGGTGTGATGAGCTCAAGTCGAGTTATAAGGCAAAAGGGGTGTGACGGACATGAAACGGCACGTGTGCGCTGATGAAGGTGCCCGGCCTGGTGAGCCGCTGCGAGCTGAAGGAAAGGAAGATGACGCCAGGTGCCCTCCCCACATCCACGGTTCGGCTGGCAGCGGTGAACCTGCAGGGCATCGGCACTCAAGAGCGGCCTTGCCTCCCTGGGCACCTCGCCCGTGCAGGGAAGAAAGCCAGGTCCTCTCAAGAATGTTCTAACTCCTGACCCTTCTCCCACGTCTTCTCAGTGCCCGCGTGACAAAGCTGGGGTGGGCATGGAGCCCCTCTGAAGGGCCACATTTGTCTCAGGGGAAACTCAGTTTGCGACCCGAACCACCCGCTTTTCTTGGTAGAGCCTCATTTTTGCCTGAAGGGATGTTTAATGGGAAACAATACTTCTGCAGACGTGGGCATTAGGCAGACGTTTTCTCAAAACATCACTTCAAAGAAAATAACTGGCAGCATTTATTGTCAATAAGAAAAACTGAATTTTCAAGTGAAAATTAGAACTTTGGAAAACTGATACCCGACACTGAGAGCCTCAGATGTTCCGGTACTTGAAGACTTTTCCGCTGAGAATTGTGGTGGGTTTTAAATATATTGTCTAGTAAAATGTGCCAGCCTTTGGAAGATCTGCGTAACTCTAGGGCATCAATAATTTCAAAACAGTGGCACTCAACATACAAAATCCTGCATTCAGAGGGCAAAACAGACCAACGGATGTTATAGCAATAGAGGAAGAGTTTACTGATACGGCTTCAGGTTTCATAACTAAGCACGGCTGAGTCTTGGTGGAGCCATGAAGCACACCCGCGGTTCTCTGAAAAGCTATTCAAACACTCCTCACTTCCCCAACAACACATCTGCACGAGGCTGAATTTCCTTCACATGATTCAACCAAACAGCACACAGCAGCAGCCTGAATACAGAAAGACGGGAACCCAGCTGTCCTCTTCAGCCAAGGCTTCAGAGAGATTTGCAAAAATGTAGACCAATGCTACTCTTCCCACTGATCATTTTTGGGAAAATATACCATTTTCATAAAAATGTTGTTTGTATGAATGTGCATTGGGTTTATTGTGTGTGTGTGTGTTCCAGTTGTGTTCGGCTTTTTGCCACCCCATGGACTATAGCCCGCCAGGTTCCTTTGTTCATGAGATTCTCCAGACAAAAATACTGGACTGGGTGTCATTTCCTTCTCCAGGGGATCTTCTCGACCCAGAGATCGAACTTGCATCTCTCATGTCTCCTTCATTGGCAGGTGTGTTCTTTACCACTAGCGAAGGATTTATTGTAGTTATTTTTTAATGGATTAAAGTAATTAATTGATGCAAACACATCCCTATTTTAATTTCTAGCATGGTAAACATCGATAGACACAATCCACAGACACAAGAGCTCTTTGTGTTTTCCAGCGATTAGTACAGAGGACTTTGGTGTCAAAGGTTTGAGAACACCTGATGCAATCTTACACAGAGGGTGGGAGGAGGAGTGTCATTGACGCAGGCTGGGGAGCTCACTGTCACGGACTGAACTGTGTCCCCAGAAGAGACGCCTGCGTTCTGACTCCTGGTGCCCGTGACCGTGGCCTTGTTTGGAGGTGGGGCTGCTGCAAAGCTAGCCATGACTGGTGCTGCTGTGAAAAGGGGAAGTGTGGGCAGACACAGATACTCACAGAAGGAAGATGATCAAGGGCAGGAGAAGATGACCACGTGGCCGTCGCGGAGCCGGCAGTGGACAGGAAGGAGGACACACCCTCTTGATTCTGGACTCTGCCTCCGGGCTGAGACCATCAGCTTCTGCCATGTGAGGCCACCCAGCGTGCGGTGCCGTGTCCTGGCCAGCCGGGGACCCTCCGCCACCGCGTGCCCATGCCACGAGCTGGACCGGCATGAGTGACCGCACTCCGGCCCCCAGGAGCCGCAGAGAAGTGGCCACCCGTCATCGAACACGGCAGGAACAGGAGATGCAGAGGAGCTGGGGCCTGAAGCCCGAGCCTGTCCTGTCTCCCTGGGCTGACTCCAGGGATGGCGGCTGCTCCTCTTCCCAAACCCACTCCTGCGATGCCTCACAAGTTCACTCAGGTTGTTGTCTCCTGAAGAACACGCCACGTGCTGAGGCAGCCTTTGTCTTTTAGTGGAGGTGATCATACACATGAGGTCATTACTGACATCGTCCAAGTACCTAACGGTAAAGTTAATAATTACTGTTTTGACTGCCAAAACTTGTCAGCGGTTCCAGCCATCGGTTTTATCAACAAACTCAGGACAGGATTGAAGCGATGCCCCGTCTCTGCTCCGCAGCAGTGGGTTCCGGCCGGGGTGTGAGGTGATTGGGAACGTTCCCGCCCAGTTCCGGCCGGGGTGTGAGGTGATTGGGAACGTTCCCGCCCAGTTCCGGCCGGGGTGTGAGGTGATTGGGAACGTTCCCGCCCAGTTCCGGCCGGGGTGTGAGGTGATTGGGAACGTTCCCGCCCAGTTCCGGCCGGGGTGTGAGGTGATTGGGAACGTTCCCGCCCAGTTCCGGCCGGGGTGTGAGGTGATTGGGAACGTTCCCGCCCAGTTCCGGCCGGGGTGTGAGGTGATTGGGAACGTTCCCGCCCAGTTCCGGCCGGGGTGTGAGGTGATTGGGAACGTTCCCGCCCAGAGACGCGTGGCCACGGGAGAGACACAGAAGGGGGGCTCGGCGGACTTGGGGTCCCATCCGAGAGAACCGGGCAGAGGAGGAGACCTCGGCCGTGCTGGAGGCAGGTTTGAAGGCTGCCCGGGAACCAGCGGAAGCACAGAGGGGGTTCTCCTGCGATGCTTGCCCGGGGAAGGGGGCCTCCCACTGAGGCCTGTGTACCCCTCTCGCGGTTGCTGTGTTTCATCTTTGGGGGAGACCATGGTCTCTCCTCCTAACCTCCACTCCCCAGGCTTAGGAACCCAGACTTTTTTTTTTTCCTTTTCCCTGAGATAGTCTACCTTACAGAAAGATTCTGAAAAAAAACGTTCAAATTAATGCATTAGTTATTTTTCTCGGGGCGGGGGGATTTGACTTTTAACAGGAGCAAGAACAGTGTGTAATTGAAGCCAAATATGCAGCTCTCTGGGGACCAAATCTCGGTAGTCGAGAAGCGGCAGGAGCGGTCACTGTGAAAAGGGCCCTGACGTCCCAGTCTGCCTGCTGTGGACATGGCTGGACCGAGCCAGACTCTCCACAGGGCGGTGTCCACACCTGTCTGCCTTCAGCATGCTTCCTAGGAAATTCTGCCTTTCACCTTCTGTTCTCCAGCTTTTAGCCTACAATCGCAAACTCCCCGAACGGGGGTCTTTGGCACCGAGGGGTAGGAAGCTGTTCCTGAGAGCAGAGCCGCAGGGGTGGGTCTGCCCGGCCTGGCGCGGGGCGCGGCTCTCCCGCTGGCCTCCCGAGTCTAGGATTCATGTGCGACCCAGAAACCGGAGGAGCAGCGCCCGCTCAACAAGCGCCGAGGGTCTGTGCGCGTTAGAGCGCGTGTCCGGAGCGCGAGGTTCCGTTTCCGCTTCAAAACACGTGAATGGATCAGGAACCCGGAAGTTGCGCTTCTTTCCTCCCGGCTAACCATTTTCAGATGCCTCGGTTGGGGGGCTGCTTTCAGGTGACGTCAGACAGGTCACCCGGGCCTCGGTGCCGGTCTGGGCTCCAGGGACCTAGGTCCTGCAGGGTCGCCCGACGTCCGCACAGGTCAGCAGTGAGCCGTACCCCCCAACCCAGGCCCACTCCACGGGGTGTGTCGTGATCGTTTTACCTGGCAGAAATCTTGGAACTAGGCTGGTGGCGTAGCGGGGTTGATCGTAAGGGATTGATGGAAATGGAGAAGCCAGTGGTGAGATGCCTCTTCCCTGGTGACTGGGGTTAAGTGCACCGAGTCAGGCCATCCTTAGTGGTAACTGAGCCACTCACACCGCAGACTGAGTATTTCCTCCGCAGAGTTGGCTTGCCGAAGGTTCGTCCGTCTCCCTTACATAGAGAGCATGGTGGGTTCTCACCTCTCCTCATCGGGAGGCTTTCAGTAGCCAGCCGCAGCCTCTGATGTCTGAGCTGAAAGGTGCTTTCATAACCCACTAGTGGTCTAGCTTCAGTCCCAGAAACCCCTTCCCTGCGCTCCTCACGGGGTGGCTCTGTTACCTGAGGCCAGGAGGAGTGACACCCTCTAAGCTTGGCCCCGAGTGGGCTGCCCTCGGAGTGCCGACCACAGCCCCCTGGTGCTGGAGGTGGCACTGGACGTTGTCTCCTGGTCACTTCCTTCAGACGGAAGACAAGAACTGAAGCCAGCATTCTCAGCCTGGACGCTTACGACGTTTTCCTTAGAACGCAGTGCTAGCTTCTTCACTGAAGTTGGAATTCTTAGCTGATCTGCTGCTTTCAGTGCTGGAGACAGAGTCAAGGGCCGGCTCTACATTCAGTAACATTTAGTGACTTCATCTTCGATCGAGGAGAACGCTTGTGGCAGGTGTGAAAAGGAGGCTGCTGTGTGGGTCTTTGGGGACCAGTGAGGTGAGCAGTCGGCATCAGCCAAGCTGCTGGTCACCTGCATGGGTGGCGTCCCCACCGATGAGCCAGTGGCCGGAGACGCGATTCGAGGCGACGCCCACTGTGCTCTGACCATGCCTTTCCACCAGTTGATGGACTGCCTGTGTGTCTGAAGGAGGGGCAGAGGCCCCTCCAGCCCTTGCAGTGCTTCTTATTATTGAGGTCAGTGCTGAAACTGAAAAGTTAAAATAGACAAGGAATTAGAATTTGTCCCACGGATTTATTTTCTCAACAACTTGTGTGTAAAAGCAATGATGATGTCACCATTTGGAATCTGAGTTAAAATCTAAATTCAAGGTTATCACCAGCCAACAAAGGTACATGTACATTCAAAGCTATGATTTTTCCAGTAATCACATACAGATGTGAGAGTTGGATCATAAAGAAAGCTGAGCGCTGAAGAGTTGATGCTTTTGAACTGTGGTGTTGGAGAAGAGTCTTGAGAGTCCCTTGGAGATCAAACCAGTCCATCCTAAAGGAAATCGACCCTGAATATTCACTGGAAGGACTGATGCTGAAGCTGAAGCTCTAATGGCCACCTGATGCGAAGAGCTGACCCATTTGAAAAGATCCTGATGCTGGGAAAGATTGAGGGCAGGAGGCGAAGGGGACGACAGAGGATGAGATGGTTGGATGGCATCACCGACTCAATCGACATGAGTTTGAGCAAATGCGGCAGGGAATGCCACATTCCATGGAATCACAGAGTTGGACATGATTTAGAGACTAAACAGCCACGCCACCACCAGACTGAATAGGTGGTTGCCTTTCCCTTAGTCTGTGGATCGCAGTTAAAGTTATCATGCTCGTGATGGCTGACTTTTTCAATGAGCAGCTTGGGTTCAGCTCATTTTCTATAAGGTGAAAAGCTTGTATTCCTTTACATTTGGCCCCCAAATGGGGAGACTATTTAGACCATGATGTGAGGTACACCTTGTCCCATAAAATAAGACACACTTTTCCTAGTACTTTTAAGTATAGTTTTATAATCTGGTAAGTTTTCCTCCAATAGCAAATCTGATTTCAGTTGGTATAAAAGGAAATGAAATGATAAGGGAATATTTTGAGGCTGTGCTAGGACAGAATATTACGGATCCTCAGACTGAAGCTGTGGTCCTGCCTAACTTTCTCCTGAGTTGGGGTGTCGTCAGAGGTTTCAACCTAGATGCCTTCCTTTGCTAGAGACAAAAATAAACTCCATCATCTCATTCTGACAAAGGGTTTTACTGGATGGAGGAAGGTAACTGGAAGGCTACTCCTTGGACTTTACAGATGAATGTTCCATGGAGGAGGATGTTTAATTTGCATCTATTATGCAATTCCATTCTCTGAAATTGGAGGCTTTCAAACCGCTGGGAGCAGCATGAGCAAATGCTGGAATATGGCAAAGTGCTGTGGGCAGGAACCACAGAAGGAAAAGTGTGGGCAAAGAAGGATCTTAGGCTTTGTATCAGAGGCTCCTATGATGAGCAAGTGAGGAGAGAGAGCTAGTTACAGGAAAATCAGACATGAGACTAGAGTGTAGGGCTGGCCGCGTTTTCGCGGTTAGTGGAAGCTCATGAGATGGACGTGTGTGGCTGGAGGACCGGGTGACACCAGGAACAACCAGAGGGCAGGCTTCTGCGGGATCGCACCCCAGCACTCATGGCCTGGTCAGCTGTTACCCGAGGAGCTTCTGGACGGAAGAAGCATCCATGGGAACTGTGAGGAATGCGGTGGGAAGCCGTGGGGCACAAGATGAAAAGGAGGCTATGTGGGGCCTAGAGCGGAGAAGGGAAGACACGGGCAAACATGGAGACACGAAGAGCCGTGCATTCACAGGTAAACTGCGCAACGTGGGGAGGACAGCGGTCGCAGCACATAAACCCACGAGAGGGGAGAGGAGGCGCTTCCATGCCTCTATTCCCGGGCTAAGGAAGACTGATGAACTGCTTCTCCGCTTCAGGATGGTGGGGGACGTGGATGTCGCATCTGGAGCCCGGGAACGTCGGTTCATTAGGGTGGGGGTCGGCCTACGCTCTCCTGGTGAGATCACAGTCATCCTCTGGCCGACACCAGCGGCGCCCTGGGGCAGAGCCCTAGTCCCGTCCCTGTGCAGAGACCAGCTCGGGGCTCACTAGCCCCGACTCTCCGCAGGAACACTCAGGACCCTCACGTCCACCGTGAACGGGTTAGCTGGACGGGTTAGCGCCCGACCGCAGGCGCTGCCTCCTGTCCACGAACTCCCCGGAAGCGCCCTACTTAAACTCGGGGTAGACTGCCCTGGACGCGCAGGAGGACAGTGCTGCTCCGCCAGGTGCGGTGGCTTCCGCGGAGACTCAGAGCAGACATCCCGACGGAAGGCTGATGTGAGGCAGCCGCGTGCCCGGGGGAGGCTCAGCGCCCTGACCCCCCTTGTGCCCGGCCCTCGGCTCGGCCGTGGGTGGGGACCCTCCGCGGAGCTGCGCCCCACGAGCTGGCTCAGCGTTCCGGAAGCTGCCGCCCTGTGCCGCCTGTCGCCAGCCGACGTGTCTGTCCAGCCACGGAAGAGCGCTGCAGACCCTCGGGGCCCCCATGGGGTTTGTGGGGCGAGGACCACCCGCCGGGCCCTCGGGCTGGCTCCAGGGCTGCCCTTGCGGCAAGGCGACCACGTCGCGGCGGCCCTCCTGATCGCGTCCTCAGCCACCAAGTGGTGCGCTCGCCGCTCCCGAGGGCCCGCGGAAGGCTGCGCTCCCAGCCCCGAGCTCGGCGGGCGTGCCAGGGGCTTCCCTCAGGTGGAGGCAGCTGCCGTCTTCTCCCGCATCGCCGCAGCCACCGTGGAGTCCAGGGCCTGGGGTGGGCGGCGTGTCCTCACTGTCCCCCCACCAGGCCCGGGTGCTCCCTCGGGGCCTTCTTGCCCCCCGGCCGTGTGGATGATGTCACCATGCCCGGCAGCCTCCGGGGCCCCTGCACCGTCCATCCTGAGGTGCAACCCCCACGGGAACCTGGGAGGACCGGGCGCCACGCTGGAGCAGGGGAGGGGCGGGGCCACCCCAGAAACCCCAGGGCCGGCCGCCCCTGCTCGGTCCTCACCCCTCCACCCGTGCTCGGCCCAGAGACCCCGCGGGGCCGGCCAGGGGGCGGCGGCTCCAGGAGCCCCGGGGTCCCTTTGTCCCTGGTGTCCTAAAGGCTTGCTAGGAAGCCTCCCTCGACTCCCCCATGGGCTTTTCTTCCCTCCTCTCGTTCTGTTGAAACGTGACACTCACAGCGAAGCTGGAGCAGGGATCACAAGTGCCGTCACCCTTGTCAACCGGGTGTGACAGCACCATCTTCCTAAATTGCCACTAATCTGCCGGGAGCTCGCCGTCCACAGCCTGCATCGCGCTGTTTGCTCACATTCGGGGAACGCTGGAAATTTCCCTTTCCGAGGTGTCACTGTTTGCCATTTAGCGGGTAAGGAGAGCTGAGAGAGCGGCTTCAAGCACACAGATTTGGGAAGCTGGGAAAAGCTGATTAGCTATTCAGGGAGAATAATCTTATTGAGAGTCGTAAGAGCTGTATAAAGAATGCTCTTCCCTTCCCGGGAACAATCTTCTAATTATGTTGTCAAGCTTGCTGTTGAGTTCTTTCCCTGTGCCATTAAGAAACCGTTTTCTATGTTAAGAAAGAGATTTCCAGATTGTGATGCTGTTTGCTGATTTTTTTTATTGTTTAAAGAATCTGTATGTATTAAACCAAACATTAAAAAATGATTCATGTGCAGCATGAATTATTGGTGACGAGGTTTGGGGACACGGGTATGAGGTGAGAGGAGGGGTGGTGGGACCAGGGGCCGGGGGTTAGGATCCCAGTCAGTGTGACAAGCACAGCGGCTCTTCCTTGGCGGATGAAAGGGTCAGGAGCAGCGGCAGCACGTGCAGCTCTAGGTTTTGGGTGAAACAAACGTTCCTGGGCAACGGATGCTTATCGAGAAGGAGAACCAAGCTATCTGACCTGTGTACAGCCTCCTGAGGCCCGCTTTCGCTACTTGAAGGCAGAACCAAGGCAGCCAGGAGGGGGTGCCCGCCCCGACAGCCTGCAGATGCCCCCCAGGGTCTCCCCCCTCCCATCTCAGACCCACTTCCAGCTGGAGAGTCAGGGCCGAGGGAGCAAGCTGTAAACCCTCTTTGCTAGTCCTCTGCTTGTGACCCGCAGTCTCCACACCGTCTGCATGCATGCTCGGACCCTAACTCATGTCCGACTCTGTGACCCCAAGGACTAGTCCACCAGGCTTCTCTGTCCATGGGATTTCCCAGGCAAGAATATAGGAGTGGGTTGCCATTTCCTTCTCTGATATAAAATGCTAAGAGATATGCATACTGATCTTAGATATTTTGTGAAAAATAGAAGAGAAAAACTAGAGATGGAGATTTTTAGTCATTTGTAATAATTTATTTCTTTTCAGTCATTCTTTCTTCATTTATAGGCAACACCATCTTGTTGTTTAGTTGGCAAGTCATGTCTGACTCTTTGTGACCCCACGGACTATAGCCCACCCGGCTCCTCTGTCCATGGGATTCTCCAGGCAAGAGTACTGGAGTCGGTTGCCGTTCCCTCCTCCAGAGGATCTTCCCGACCCAGGGAAGAACCTGCATCTCCTGTGTTGACAGGTGGATTCCTCACCCCTGAGCTACCAGGGAAGCCCATAACACTGTCTGAAAGTGCAAGTCCCTCAGTCATGTCTGACTCTTTGTGACACCAGGGTCTGTATCCTGCCAGGTTCCTCTGTCCATGGAATTCTCCAGGCCAGTATACCGGAGTGGGTTGCCATTCCCTTTGCCAGGGGTTTTTCCCAGCCCAAGTATCGAACCCATTTGTCCCGCATTGCGGACGGATTCTTTGCCAGCTGAGCTACCAGGGAAGCGCAACAACACTGGCGTGGGCAGCCTATTCAATCTCCGGCAGATCTTCCTGACCCAGGCAGCAGGCCGCTGTCTCTTGCATTGCAAGCAGATTCTTTACCAGCTGAGCTACCAGGGAAGCCCCATAATGCTGTCTCAGTTCAGTTCAGTTCAGTTCAGTTGCTCAGTCGTGTCTGGCTCTTTGTGACCCCATGGACTGCTGTAACCAGGCTTCCCTATCCATCACCAGCTCCCAGAGCTTGCTCAAACTCATGTCCATCAAGTAGGTGATGCCATCCAACCATCTCATCCTCTGTCATCCCCTTATCCTCCTGCCTTCAATCTTTCCCAGCATCAGGGTCTTTTCCAAGGAATCAGTTCTTTGCATCAGGTGGCCAAAATATTTGAGCTTCAGCTTCAGCATCAGTCCTTCCAATGAACACCCAGGACTGATCTCCTTTAGGATGGACTGGTTGGATCTCCTTGCAGTCCAAGGGACTCTCAAGAGCCTTCTCCAACACCACAGTTCAAAAGCATTAATCCTTCCGTGCTCAGCTTTCTTTATAGTCCAACTCTCAGGTCCATACAGACTTCTGGAAAAACCATAGCTTTGACTAGATGGACCTTTGTTGGCAAAGTAATGTCTCTGCTTTTTAATATGCTGTCTAGTTTGGTCATAGTTTTTCTTCCAAGGAGCAAGCATCTTTTAATTTCATGGCTGCAGTCACCATTTGCAGTGATTTTGGAACCCCCAAAAATAAATTCTCTCACTGTTTCCACTGTTTCCCCATCTATTTGCCATAAAGTGATGGGACCAGATGCCATGATCTTAGTTTTCTGAATGTTGAGCTTTAAGCCAACTTTTCACTCTCCTCTTTCACTTTCATCAAGAAGCTGTTTAGTTCTTCTTCACTTTCTGCCTTAAGAGTGGTGTCACATGCATATCTGAGGTTATTGATATTTCTCCTGGAAATCTTGATTCCAGCTTGTGCTTCATCCAGCCTGACATTTCTCATGATGTACTCTGCATATAAGTTAAATAAGCAGGGTGACAATATACAGCCTTGAAGTACTCCTTTCCCAATTAGGAGTCAGCCCATTGTTCCATGTCCAGTTGAACTGTTGCTTTTTGACCTGCGTACAGATTTCTCAGGAGACAGGTAAGGTGGTCTGGGATTCCCATCTTTTTAAGAATTTTCTACAGTTTGTTGTGATCCACACAGTCAAAGGCTTTGGCATAGTCAATGAAGCAGAAGTAGATGTTTTTCTGGAACTCTCTTGCTTTTTCAATGCTCCAACGGATGTTGGCAATTTGATCTCTGCTTCCTCTGCCTTTTCTAAATCCAGCTTGAACATCTGGAAGTTCACAGTTCATGTACTGTTGAAGCCTGGCTTGGAGAATTTTGAGCTTTACTTTGATAGCATGTGAGATGAGTGCAATTGTGTGGTAGTTTGAACATTCTTTGGCATTGCCTTTCTTTGGCACTGTCTACTGTCTACTACCTGCTAATTTAAATAATAAACAGCATGGAGCTTTGTTTCAACCTCCGTGTGAACCAGGGCACGGAGAGTGGGTTTCAGAAGATTTTGCTATAACAAATCCCATCAGAGGAATGAACACTGAAACCGAAGCTGCATGCACCTTGCAGGAACAGACCGCATTTCTGGGGCATCCTCACCGGTCGACCCACATTCACTCCTTGGGACCCTGCCTCCTTTTCTTTCGCTACGGTAGGATTTGGGATTGATTCAGGCAAATCCTACAGTGAGACGGTTTGGAATTCATACGTTGGGACCCGTGTTACGACACCTCCTGGTGTGTCTATAGGAGCAGGAAGTGACTGAAGGCACCTCCTCTATACATGATGAAACACATGGTCGAGGGCATCGTCCATCATTGGTCACTGAGCAGCCACCAGGGCCAGAGTTTGCCATGGGCATTATGCAACCAAAGGCAAGAGAGGCTCTGTATTTTCACGACATTAGAAGCAAAACTTCCTAGTACAATTTCAGTGTAGGCAGAAGTCGGCTTGGACGCCGTCGGCCCCTCCCGCCCCAGTAAGTCTGGACAAAACTTTTAGCTTTCTGATTCGAGCCCCAACAATTACAAACAAGAACACCATTTATTTGAGGCTTGTTGGAAAGCTTAAAAGAAATTGCCCGGAGTAAGTAGGTACTCAATAACTTGTACATTTTTGTTAATTCTCTGGCTCAGGATGAAAGGACTGCTTCAAGGTTGATTTCCATTTGTTTCTTTTGCTCCTTTTTCGGTTTGTTTTTATTTTAAATGCACAAAATTCAAAAGACTGAAAGAAATACCTCCTGAAAAGTAAGCTCTCTGGTTTGTCAAATCATGAAGCCCAGCCCCCTCCTCTTCTTCAGTTGGGGTGGGGCCCAGGAATAGAGTTCACACCACAATGAATCATATACCCAGGAAACAATATTTCATGGAGTGATTGTATGGATTACCATAGATTACCTAATCGGTTTGCTGTTAGTTGATTATTTTCAATATTTTACATAGTATCGAATGCTGTCTTTGAACATACATATTTTGCACTGAGTCAGTACTTATCAAAGGCAAATTTCTTGAAGAGCAATTTGTGGGTCAAAAAGTGTATGAATTTTTGATAGAAAATTGCCAAATTTCTCTCCGTAGAATTTATCCCACTTTTGCAGTTCAGGAGACCCTGGTTCAATTCCTGGGTCAAGAAGATCTGCTGGAGAAGGGATAGGCCATTCACTCCAATATTCTTGGGCTTCCCTTGTGGCTTAGCTGGCAAAGAATCTTCCTGCAATGCAGGAGACATGAGTTTGATCCCTGGGTTTGGAAGATCCCCTGGAGAAGGGAATAGCTACCCACTCTAGTGTTCTGGCCTGGAGAATTCCATGGACTGTATGGAATTGCGACCATAGGGCTGCAAAGAGTCAGACACAACTGAGTGACTTTTACTTTCACTTTTGATCTTTGACAACCCGACAGGGAAGCAGTGGTATCTCACTATAGTTTTAATTTACATTTTTCTTTATATAAGGAAAGTCAGGAGTCTTATGTGCAAGAGGCATTTGTATTTCATTCTCCATGTTCTGTCTGCTGTATTTCTGCCATTAATTCTGCTAGATGGCTGGTCTTTTGCTTATTGACTTTAGAAGTTCTTTATCTATTAGACAAATTAGCACCTTATGATATGAGTTCAAATATTTTGATCCAAGTAGTCATTTGTCTTTTCTCTTTGTTCCTATTCCTTTTCGTGATTCAAAACTTTTTTCAAATTTTTTTATGTAAAAGGTGAGGCAAAGATTTCTTAAGCATGACACCAAAAGCATGATCTATAAAAGAAAAAAAATGATAAATTGAACATAATCAAAATTAAGAGCGTCTGCTCTTCAAAGGATACTGTTAAGACAGTGAAAAGACAAGTCATTGCCTGGGAGGAAACATTTGCAACTCATGTATCTGATAAAGGACTTCCATCCAGAATGTAGAAGACAACTTTAGGACTCAGTAACAAAAAGACACTAACCCAGTTTAAAAAACGGGCGGAGACGTGAATAGACATTTCACCAAGGAAGAGACACAAATGGCCAATGAGCACATGAAAAGATGTGCAGCACCATTAATCACAGCGAGAGGCAAATCAAAACCACAGTGAGACCCCTCTTTTCCGAGGAAATATAAATTTTACCAGCTAAGCCGCCTTGCAGAAATTTAAAGATAAGATGGTTCCACTGGAGAAGTAGCAAAACAGTCACACCTTTTTTTTAAATTGTTGCAGCATAGTTGGTTTATGATACTATATTATTCTCAGGTGTAAGCATGGTGATTCAGTATTTGTACAAATCATGCTCCATTGAAAGTTACTGCAAGGTAATGGCTATGGTCCCGCATCATACAATATAACCTTGTTTCTTACCTATTGTGTACACAGTCGTTTTTATCTCTTAATCCCATACCCCTGATTGGGCCCTCCCTACTTCCTTCTTCCAGATTCCGCCTGCAGGGCAGGAATCCCTGGGTGGGGAAGATCCCCTGGAGAAGGGAACGGCTCCCCACTCCAGCGTTCTGGCCTGGAGAGTTGCGTGGACTGCATGGTCCCCGGGGTCACAAGAGTCGGGCACGCCTGAGATGCTCTCACTTTCACTTCCTTCTTCCCCTTGGGAACCGTCGGTTTGTTTCCTGTGTCGGTGTGTTCCGTTTTGCATATACAATGGTTTGTATTACTTTTTGGATTCCTCATATCAGTGGTCATACGGTATTTGTCTTGGATTTTGCTAAGCATATGATATTCTCCAGGTCATCCCTGTTGTTGCAGTGGTGATATTGCATTCTTTGTATAGCTGAGGACGTATTCGATCGCATGTGTGTTCCACATCCTCTTTATCCATCTGTCTGCTGATGGGCACTTAGGTTGCTTTCGTACCTTGGCTATTGTGAGTGGAGCAGCCGTAGACACCGGGGTGCGTATATCTTTATGAATTAGTGTCTTCATTTTTTCCAAATATATACCAGTAGTGGAGTTGGTGGATCACATGGTAACTCTATTTTTAGTTTTTTAAAGTTTTTTTCTGTTCTCCATAGTGACTGCACCAACTTACATTCCCAGCGACAGTGTAGAGAATTCCCTTTTCTCTACACCCTCTCAGCACTTATTATGGACTTTTGATGGTGGCCATTCTGACCTGTGTGAGGTGGTCCCTCATTTTAATTTTGATTTGCATTTCTCTAATAAGTAGTGATACCGAGCATCCTTTCGTATACCTGTTGGCCATCAGGGTGTCTCCCTTGGAGAAATGTCTGTGCAGGTCTTCAGCCTGTTTTGGGGGTGGGCTGTGGTTTAATCATGCGTCAGGCTTGGCCTCAGTATCCAGTTCTTTGCTTACTGACCTGGACACCAAGCCCGGTACTCAACGTCTGAGTCTCAGCTACTGCGCAGACCTCACACAGGTCTCTCCACCCTGCGGGCGGCCTGGTGGAGATTAGCAGGGGCTACAGACCCCCACCAGGGTCTGGGCGAGAGTGGTTGCTCGTCTGATGCTGGGCACCAGGACACAGGGGCGCCAGGAAGCCGGTGGCCTCCTCCAGGGCAGGGCCCCTCCCGCCCCCTCCCAAAGCGGTGCTGTGCTATCCAGGTGTGGTCCACAGCCTGTTGAAACCGTGCAGCGGGGCTGGCGGGCGATGAAACACGCCCGGCCCGACGGACAGGCCGCAGGGCTCCCCCTGGGCCCCTGACACCCTGCTTATGAAGCAGCCGCCGCCCACGGCCCCTAAGGCTCCCTGCCAGGCCGCGCCCCCAGCGCGCAGGGCCCCAGCACCTCTGGGAGCCAGGCCTGCCCCCTGCGTGCGGGCGAGGAAGCTGGGGGCAGGACCCGAGGTCCGCTCTGCTGGCGGAGTCGGGATTTGCACCTGGACGCTTCCCCGCAGGGCTCACGCCCTCAGACTCTCCTCCCCACCATCACTGCTTGAAGCCGGGAGCCGGAGGCCGAGGCGGCCGCGGGGCGGCGGCTCCGGACCTTGCGGTGGTTCCTGCGGCGGCGCGGCAGGGGCGGGCCGGCCCCCTTCACAGGCGCGTCTCGGGGCCCCGGGCCTGCTCCACGGGCAGACGCACTTCCCCAGGGCTCCTGGAGGAGGCGCTAGTGAGACGGCCCCAAGGGAATCTACCGCTGGGAAGCCCGGGAGCCAGATGCTTGCCCACAAACGGAGGTCAGATAGAGACCAGGAAGGGGGTGCGCAGGGCGTGGGGGTGGGGGGGGGGGCAGCTCTGCCCAGAACCAGCGTGGGGGAGACAGGTGGGCACTGCAGACGGCGGACCCCGAGAGCCTCGGCGAAGCTCCCGGAAGCGGCCTCCGGGATGGAAAAGCAAGAGGAAAGGGAGTGGAGAGGACCCGCCGCCGGTTTCCATCCGCAGGGTTGCCGACGTTCTCGGGAGCCCTTCCCAGGCTCTGTCCTCACGGCCGTCACCGCCTGGCCCCGGGCGTTCCCCTGCGTGCGCGGGCCGGCGGACTTTGCAGATACGGGCCTCCTGGTCGAGGAGTCTCCACGGAGCTCCACCCGCCAGCGGCCTTCCCCCGTCTCCCCCTGGGCCCCCGGCCCCCGGAATCACAGAGACGACCCTCATCATCCCCACCCCAGGAACCAGGCCGTGAGCGCTGGCTCTGCTTGGCCCTGTGTCCTGCGTTCCCCATCCTGGGCCAGAGCGGCAGCACACTGGGGTTCCAGCACAAGAGACCCCGAGGGCTGTCGGTCCACTCAGACCTCCCAGAGCAGGGCGCAGCAGAGGGTCTGCGGTCCACCTGCTGGGAGGCGCCCGCTCGCTGCCGGGTCCGTGAGGCCGCAGTGTCCTGCCAGTGGCGGACAGTGGGCAGGAGGGCAGGTGTGAGTGCAGGGGTGGCGGTACTCCCCCGGCCTGTCCAGGATCAAGGCCGCCAAGAGGAGGGAAGCACCAGTGTGGACAGAGCAGGGGCATCCTCGCCCAGAGGGGCCAGCGGGGGTCTCCTCCGAGAGGAGCAGCCGGCTTCCATGGCTGCATTTGCAGCGATCGCAGAGGGCACCCCACCCTTGAGTCTTCTGAGGGCCCCGCGTGAGAAAGCAGGTGAGAGCTGGGCTAGGCTGGCAGGGCGACCCTCCGCTGGGGGCGGCAGATAACTGGCCGGTGCGGGCTGTTGCCTCCTGGCTGTCTGAACCTCACAGGCACTTTGTGGGCAGACTCAGTGGCCTTAGGTGCTTGGGGTTCACCCACCGATGGGGGGCGATTGTGCCAGAGAGCATCCTGCTCCCACGTGAGTGTTCCAGGACCAAGAGTGCATCCTTGTGGAGCAGTTCTGGAGACCGCGTGTGCTGGGAGCCGGGGAGCGACGCATGGATGCCCAGAGGAGGGGACGCGCGCCCCAGGGTCCCTCCAGCCAGCGCCCCGGGCCCCCCACGCTGCCCCAGTGGTTGCTTGCCACACTTCTGTGTGGACGGGATTGCACCTCTTGTGCTAGAACGCCAGCTCCAAGGGGACGGGGAGTTTCGTGGGCTCCTCTGGAGCCCCAGAGAGTCGCTGGTGTGTGCTGGGGGCTTAATCCAGAGGGTGGGATGAGGAGCACACCCCCCTGCACCCCGCTCGGTCCCCCGCGGCCGGTGTCGTGCGTGGGGAGCAGCTGGGACCGCCGGCCTGTCGGGCCATTTCTGGGCTCACGTTCACGGACTGTGTCGCAGGTCTTCAGTGTACAATTTGAGTCAGAAGTGCCTTTTCACTGAGGTGCCTAATGATTCCTGCTGAGAATGTAATTAAAATATCGCAGTAGTTTAAAAATAATGCTCTCTTAGGATAATACACCAAAACGGCTAATTCAGACTGAGTGCCTCCTGCTTTGATGACATGACAGGGAGCATGGTATATGAAACGCTTTCATCTGAAACGTGACCGTCTACACAAACACACCGCCGTGATATGCGTCGGACTCTGGCAGGATGACATTTCAGACTCTCCGCGTGGTCCAGACGTGTCCGAGGGCAGCGTCCGGAGTTCATGCTGGTGTTTTGAAGTCCCGGCGTCTGGACGAGCAGAGGCTCCTGTAAATATCATCTCTGCTCAGCCCACCCAGAGATCGGCTGGACACCCGCCTGGCGACCTTGACCTCTGTCCTTTTCACATTAACACCGGCTGGAGTTCTGAAGCCTGAGCAAGGCTCGGAGGCTGCGCTGCCGGCTGGGGAAGGGTCTCGGGGAACCTCCGGGGCAGGAGCCTCACAGCCGCAGCTGAGGACGGGGTCTGGGGGTGTGCGGGGGTGCCGGCACCCCATCCTTGGTCCCTCCCAGGGCAGCCTGGGGAACCAAGGTTCTGATCGCTTCTCTGCTTCTTTTGGGTCTTCATTATTTATTGAAGTACAGTTGATTTACAACGTTGTGTTAATTTCTGCTGTATAGCACAGTGGCTCAGTAATACACATATATGGATTCTTTTTTTTTTTATTCTTTTCCATTATGGTTTATCCCAGGATGTTGGATATATTCCATGCATACAATTCGCACTCACTAGACTCCTGATGGAAAGAGCCAATACATTGGAAAAGACCCTGATGCTGAAAGATTGAGGGCAGGGAGGAGAAGGGGACGACAGAGGATGAGATGGTCGGATGGCATCACCGATTCGATGGACGTGAGTTTGAGGAAACTCCGGGAGATGGTGATGTACAGAGAAGCCTGGTGTGCTGCAGTTCACGGGGTCGCAGAGAGTCAGACAGGACTTGGCGACTGAAACAAGAAGAGTTCCGACACTTACTGAGAGCTTCGAGTAACCAGCCCACAAACTCGGCTCCCTCAGACCTGCCCAGAGGCTGTGCAGAGGCACGGGTTGCTGAGCTGCAGGGGGTCCACATCGCGCACGAGCTTCCCCGGTGACACCCGAGCTTCCAGCCTGGCCACTGTGGGGCCACCAGCAACATGTCACACCAACAAACGCTTCCGGGGCTCAGGGTAGTCACTGTGACCCCTCTGTGTTAACAAAAAATAAAATTAAATCCAAGGAAGGGCAAAAGACACAGAGTAGGTTGAGTCTGCTCCGCTGCCCACAGAGTCTGACCTGAGGGCCGGTGAGCAGATGGAGAAACGCAGATCGAAACTGGTTCCCGGGCCTGGACCGCTGCCGGCAGCCTCCTGGGGCTGCCCAGCCGCCGACACACAGCGCCGCAGACCGGGAGGCTTAGTCCAGAAGTGGACCGTCCCGCGTAGTCCTGGAGCCGGAGTCCAGGGTCAGGGGTCTGCAGGGCTGGCTCCTCGTGAGGCTCTGCCTGGCCCCCAAAAAGCTGCTGTAGGGGGCAGCCTTGGCTTGTGGACGTGGCACCCCCGCCTCTGCCTCCATAGCAGGCTTCCCCGGCGGGTGTCCACCTCAGCGTCTCTTCTCTGACCCCACTGGTCGGCATAGGAGCCCTCTATCTACACCTGCCAACCCCCTGCAAGTGAGTCCCCTGCATCCGAATCAGTTCTGCTCCCAGAGCACGTCCGTAAGTCCGGCTTGTTCGTAAGTCCAATGAAGAGAGCCCGGGTACCCAGCCAACCATCAGCTGTAGAACCCTGCACTGTAGCGGGTTTGTAATACTCTTCACACTCATAACACAGAAAAAACAAGCGCGAAAAGAAAACTTTTTTCATCTTCCAGGACAGCACCTGGGAAGCACAGCAGCCCCGGACGACAGCTGGCACACGGGGCTGGCGTCGTGCGGGCGGGCAGGGAGCGTGCCTGGCGGCGATGGGGAGGAGGAGGGAGGGGCAGAGCTGCAGGGGCGTCGGTGACGGGAGACCGGCCGAGACGGCTCGTGCCCGATGCTGATGGAATGCACCGTCGCATCCCTGAAGTTTGCAAGTTGGAGGTTCTCACATAGGGGACTTACTGTATCTCCAAATGAGGTCACATCCTGGGGGTTGGGGTGGAGTTAGGGCCTCAGGACCTCTGTGCAGAGACACAGCTCATCACAGAGGACAAGCCTGGTCACCAGTCCTGGGGCACAGTCACTGCCTGGCAGCCTCCCAGGAAGGCGTGCAGGGCTGCTGGGTCAGGAAGAGCCCCTGCCCGCCCCCAGCTGCTCCTGGTGCATCCCACAGGCTGAGTGGCCGGAAGCCACAGCCAAGGACGCCTGGGCATGTGGTCCCCTGAGCCCTGGGCAGAGCTGTGCCAGGCCTGGGCCTGGCAGAGGCGCAAGGGGCCACCCAACCTCAGGCCGAGCCTGACCGACACTTTCCCTCCAGGTGCACCACTGAGCAGGGCTGGGCATCCTCAGCCATTGCCCCGGTCACACCCTCCCCGGAGTCAGAGCTGGGGGCCCACCCTCTCCTTTGACCGCGCTGCTCCTGGTGCTGTAGGCAGGACATGTGGGTGGCACTGAAAGTGACCGTCATGGCATGTCATGGTCCAGACACCTCAGGGAAGGACACCCATGGGCTGAGAGGTGACTGTGGGTGTCTCCCCATCCATGTGGTTCCCATGGCCTGGAGCCTCCTGACCACCCAGCAGGTGCCTCGCTCTGCGTTTCTTCTCCCTGAGGACCCAGGTCAACTCCGCCCACTTCCTCCTAAACGCCACCCGTTTACCTGGCAGCTCAGCGTTTCGGGAGACGCAGGAACCGAGGTGGCCCGAGCATTTCTGCCAAGAGCCCAGGCCCGCCAGGCCACCAGCTGGCCCACGTGGTGGCCTCCGCGTTCCAGGAGGCTCAGCTCAGCAGTGGACACAGGGCTCAGCTCCACGGACGGGAAGGCTCCCTCTTGACTATCTTGCCTGCCTTGTTTGGGGAGCAGGGCTTCTGCTCTTGCCTTGGGTTTGTTTTGAAGATGAATATAGAAAGAAGGAGAAAGCAGAGGTCAGAGAAGGCGGGGCAGGTCAGCCGTCCCACCAGGCGAACAGCTGTGAAACTTATGAATGTTGCACCTCGTTCTCCGAGAGAACCTGCTTTTCTCAAAGCGAGAAGTAAATTCACCAGCGCCCTGTGTGCGGGCGGGGCTGTGTTGCCTCCAGGAGGGCAGGTTTTAGCGCGAGCTCTCACGGTCCCTGCAAACTGCAGCCTTTCGTCACCTTGGACACCCACGTGGCATTGAAGAGCTTTCAGCGGAAAGAAGGGGCCTCGTCTGCTGTCCTCCACCATTTCCACACAGGAGCCGGGCTGTCCTGATTAGCGCCTTCCCTCCATGGAGGAAGCATCGCTTGCAGGTGGGAGCGGGCTGCAGCCGCGGCTCCTCCAGACCATCCCTCAAGAGGGGAGGCAGGGGTCTTCTGTCCCTCAAGGAGGGAGGCAGGGGTCTCCTGGTCCCAAGCTCCCTGCAGGGACGGGGTTCAGGTAGGACGGGGCTGGCAGACACCAGGAGCAGGTGACCAGGCCCTGAACCCACCCGTGACCCCTGCTTGCCCTCAGCCCCGACAGGACCCGGGCGGGTGCACACAGGCACGGCCTGGAGCTACCCGTGGGCTCCACCATGACGGCCGTGGGCTCCACCATCACGGCCACGGCCGTCGCCACCGTCGCGTCGTCAGTGCTGGGCACCTCCTCTCTGTCAGAGCAGCCGGTTCCCAAGCCTGGGACGTGGCTCCTGGTACCTTGCTTTTATGGGGGAAAACCAAAGCTCAGAATCTTCAACTAATCTGCTAGGGTCACAGAGATGTCTAGTGAGTGAATGAGTGAAAGTCGCTCAGTCGTGTCCGAGTCTTTGCGACCCCATGGATGATACAGTCCATGGGATTCTCCAGGCCAGAACACTGGAGTGGGTAGCCTTCCCATTCTCCTAGGTCAGCCCTCAGGAGAGCCCAGATCAGCTGCCTCCCCCGGGAGATGACCTGGCCCCTCTGCGGGGGCTCCAGCCTGGAGGGCAGACCCCCCACCCCCCGCTTCCCTCATCTTTGTTTGCTGACGCTCTGGGGCCTTTGTGGATGTCAAGGCAGACAGGGAGGCGTGTGCTAATATTTACTCTGCTTCTCGCCTAAGGCTTGTTGCAGCCTGCTCTCAGTTCAAACAGCAGGTGAATCAGAAGGCTTAGACTTAGAAAGACTCATCTTTGAAGCGTAACCTTTTGTTCTTCTCCCTCGGACCGTGGGGACGTCCAGAAGGAAGGTTGGCTGGGCCTCGGGAAGCATGCACACCACCCTGACCCGAGGGCGGGAGTCAACAAGGACTCCCACTTGCCGATTGTTCTCTCAGAGCTGAGCTGCAGCTGGGAAAACACAGACACACGCAAGCCCGCCCGCCCAGCAACGGCCTCCTGCAAGACCACTCACCTGCCCACGGGCCGCTGGCAGTGCTCCACATGCACGCGTGCCCGCCGGGCGGGCCAGGGGCCCTGCTAAACGCTCGCCAGTCCTTCCAGCCACCTTAGGAGATCGATCCTGCAACCGTCCCGTTTCACAGACCAGGAAGGGGGGTCACTGCCCCGCCCCCACAGCGGGTGCCCACGGCGTCCCAGGCAGCCGGGCTCATCGCTGCGGTCAGCTGCGGAAGCCCCAGCCCCATCTCACCAGAGTGAAGACTGAGCCTCCCCGTGAGCTACTCTCCAGGCACACGCAGCAATCCCTGCTTGAGGGCCTCGTCCTGCCGGCTGGGTGCCCTCCCTGGGGACCTCGTGGGAGCAGAGCGGGCTGTCCCCGTGACTCAGCAGCAAACTTCCCTCCTGATACGCTGCACACCCCTCTCTCCCCCGGAAGGCCAGTGTTAGCTTCCAACCTGCTCCAGCCGGGTGGACGAGTGGCCGCACATCAGTCACCTTTATCTGAAGTCATTCATTCGTTCACACTTGTCGGAAGATGACTCCCTGATGCCTCCAGCCAGTCAAACAGATGGAGGCGCGGGTCTGTGCTGGGCCTCACGAGCCCCATGTTAGACCCCTTTGTGATGGCGCCCCTTAAAACGTATTGTCCGTCATTTTCCAAATTAATGCTCTTCTTCAGCGGGGCCCATGCTCCGCTCCAGGTCAGGTAGGTATTTTCAGCCTGAAAGCAGTATTTGCTGCAGGAAAGAACTTGGGAGGTTGGATGCCCTGGACAGGAGGAGTGTGGCCATGAGCGTCTGACCCCGGGCCTGGCGCCGTCACAGCGTCTCTCCCTCCACAGCTGGGTCGGTCTCCACGGGCCCAGAACCGTGGGGGCGGCCTGGGGTCTTCTCTGCATCCCGGGGACCCTGCACAGCGGGCTCTGGGGCACCCACAGTGGACGGAAGGGCGGCTCTCAGTCAGTCACCAGGAAGGTTTCCTTTCGGGGTGACTCAGCTGCAGGAGCACAGGGCAGGCGGGAGCACGCAGCGGGATCACCCAGCTCGGCAGAGGGCGGGGAGGCGCTGAGCCCTGCAGGCTGCGTGCTCGGGAGCCGGCCCCGCGGTAAGACGGGACAGCGGCCCGAGCGCCCGGGTGGGGGTGGTGGGACCTCCCCGCAGGCCCAGGGGGGCAGCCTGCCTGTCTCCAGCCTGCCCCGGGCGCTGGCGGCTGACTCACGGAGGGGCAGGACATCGGGGGGCCAGGATGAAGAGCCGCTATGTTTCCAATTCTGCTTTTCCTCCCGAGGAAGACAGTCTTAGAAGGATTAATGACTGATGAGAAATATGTTTCAAGATTAGGGGTGGCGTGTCTTTCCTCATCAATTCCTATTCTTTGGGTCATTAAACCTTGACGTTTTAAATGAAACGGTGCTTGCTGGATTGAAGCCGGGCCTCTGGGACACGGTGTCAGGGAGGCCGCCCGGGTCCCTCCAGGGAGGCCGGACAAGCGCGCTCTGCTCCAGTCTGACGTGGGGCTCGCGGCGTGCGGTGATGGCCTGCTGCCCCTTCTCCTTCTGGCCCGGTCTCCGGCCACGTCCCCAGTCCCCAGCGTGTTCCCTGTGCGTCTGGAAGGAACATCTCGAGGGGCCACCAGGGCGGGAGAGCATGTGGTCTCCACCGAGGGTGCTCTGGGCCTCTCTGCCGACCACAGCCTGAGTGAGATGCCCTGTGAAGCCAGTGACCAGTCACACCCAGTGCTGCCTGCACGCGGGCACGGCCACGTCGGGTCTGGAAGCTCACGGCCACGGTCAACACCAAAGCCGAGGCTTTCTGGCCAAGTCACCGTTCTCCCACCCCAGCCACTGCCTGGTGAGCCACATGGTGCTTCCGTCCCGCACCAGCCGGCAGGTGTGGAGAGGCAGTGGCCAACTACAAAGGCAGTGCTCTGTCCTCGTGGGGTTTGCAGCCCAGGGTCACATGCCTCAGATGTCAGCACAAACTGTGACCCACAGATGCCTGTGGCTGAGCACCCTCCCTCCCAAACCCTCCCTGTCCCAGTTTCGGGGGAGAATTCCCTGAGGACTGTTAATGAAGAGGATGTGTGCATGCTAAGTTGCTCAGTTGTGTCTGACCCTTTGCGACCCCGCAGGCTCTAGCCCACCAGGCTGCCCGTCCATGGGGCTCCCCAGACAAGGATACTGGAGTCGGTTGCCATGTCCTTCTCCAGGGGATCTTCTCAACCCAGGGATGGAACCCAGGCCTCCTGCATTGCAGTCAGATTCTTTCCTCTGAGCCACCAGGGGAGCCACGAAGGGGATAAAGGTCCTCAAATTTGCTCTTTTAAAAGACTATCTGCCAGTTGAGAAGGAGTCGGAGGTAGAAGGTCAGCAGGCAGATTCAGGCCCAAGTGGGATGGTGTGAAAGCTGGGGTGGGGGGGGAGTGATGAGCCCTTCTCTGGGTGAAGGGGCTGGGGGCACCCACAGTCCACACTCGGGGTCCACAGGAGCTGCGCTGGCCCCGCCAGCCACCCCTCACTCACCTCTTCCTACAAGCGCAGTGATGGACGGCTGATCGGGGACCTGATCCCACTGCGTCCCATGCACTGATCGGGGACCTGATCCCACTGCGTCCCATGCACTGATCGGGGACCCTGATCCCACTGCGTCCCATGCAGCTTGGCCAGCAGCCGGGACCCTGTGGGACCCCAGATTCCTCTCGGCTGGCATTCAGACGCGTGGATTGGCTGGCATGCTCTGGCCACTGAACTTGGAGAGTGGATGACAGGTCCAAGAGGGTGGGTCCCCGTCTTCCAGAGCTCCCTGGGGGACTTGGGCCCTTGAGTCCGCAGTGTCCTGCGAGCCGGGTCCTCTGACTGTACCACCCCCGACTCACCACTGCACTCTCCCTCTGTCCTGGAGTCAAGGTTTCAAGTCCACATTGGGTCCGGGAGCGGAGGGCAGGGCTGGGGGCCCGAGAGAAGGTGCGTGTTGAGAGGTGCAGCTGCCTCGGCGCAAAAGGTCCTGCCTTTATTCTCGGAGCTGGAAGCTCTCTGTCACGCTCAGAGCAGAGTAGTCTCCTGCGAGGATGAGGGTGGGTCCACTGGTGTGGCCTCTGATGGGAAACGCCCGGGAGACATCTGAGCTCTCCGCAGGCATGGACGCTTCCGGGGACCCAAGTCTACAAAAGGAAACACAAACTGGAGAAGTTTCTTAAAATATGTGTGAAAATGAAGCTCCCATCCATTAGCGGTGAAGGGAATTTTTCAGTCTGGATGATTCCATTTTTCTCTGAGCCAGCCCACTGTCACCCAAAGTACAACATCAGAACCGAGGACCACCCCAGGGCATTTCTCACCCACCCCACAAATCCACAGCTTCTTCTGTTGCTGGATTTGTGTACTACACTGCCAGAACGGAAGGGGCGGGGTTTTGCTACAAGGTCACTTTACATTTAGAATCTGAGATTTTGGAGTTAACGTGCGTCAGTGAAGTTCTGTGTTACATGGGGTGATATGAAACAGCTTGCTAGCAAACACAATCAGAGCGCGTTCTCTTCACAGGCTGTGGCACAGTGTTGCTGGGCAGGGGTAGTTATCTTTTATTACTAATGAAAACATATTCTCCTAATTGTTCCGAACCATCTCAGGACTGATAAGTGTACAGTGTAAGCATTTTATAGGTGTAATTCAATTAATCTCCCCAGAAAAATATCTGTTGGATGCACGTAAACATACTGGTTAAATTGTACGTCTTCATTTCTTCCACTCCGATGACTGAGACTGTGGGGAACAGACTATAAAAATCTCACCAAAGAGCTTTATTCTCTTTTTATCGCCTGTCAAATAATTGCCGCGACGCCCCTAGTTGGTGGTGAAACATTGCGTTCCGATGCTGCTAGCAACGACACGCCGTGTGTGAGTTGCACATTGAGTTTAGGTAATGTACCAGAAACTGTTGCATGAAAACACTAATTTTCTCAATATATATTAGTAGACACGGTGTTTACCAGTGAAAAGTGGGGATATTTTTAAACAGTTTGTTAACTTCGAGTCTTGGCCGGGCTGCCCGTGAACGCCGTCTGGCTGGTGTTAGAACTGGGGACAGAGGCGGCCTCAGGGCTGGAGGGCTTGGCTGCACGGTTCCTGCCCAGCTGGCCTCACGCACCCTCCGTCACGTGGGCCCTGGCCCCAGGCTCGCTCGCTGGTCATGTTTTGGCATCATCAGCGTTGCTGACATCACTGCAAACAGGCCCAGCTCCCTGCCACCTCCCTCCATCTCCGCTGGGCTCCCCTCAGCCCCTGACCCCAGGCCCATTCACCACCGAGCCAGTCATTCCATGGATGGAGCAGGAGCCGTTATAACAACTCATCTCAGGCTGGTGAGCAAAGAGATGTTTAATTTAATTTGTCTGGCCTGCAGAAAACAAAATGGGAGAAGTACAAGATATGTTATTATCAGCCTTAGATGACACCAGCCTTCCAACATTTCATTATCTTATTATTGAGCAGGGTTTCCAAGAAGAACCTCTTTGTCTCTCAGCCTTTCTTAAGAAACCTATTCTTAAGGAATAATTGTTGTCTAAGAGCACGAGGGAAATGCAGCCTCTCGCGGATGTTCGTGTGGCTGATCTGAGCACCGTCCAATGTGACTGTCCCGTGGGCTCCAGCCTTCATCTGCCTTCATCTGATGTGCTTGGACCCGACGTTTGGTGGGCCCCATCCTGAGCCTTTTCATAAACAGTCCTCGCACACAGCGTGGGAGGCGGGTCGGTCTGGGCGTGTGCTCTGGCTCCCAGGCCCCACCGAGACATCGCGGACCCCATGCTGCTGACGAGGCTGTGATCTCTTTCCCTGCGGAAGGCGTGAGACTGAGCCCGTGGTCTCACACTAGCAGACAGCTGCCAGGGTCCACGAGAGTGCCGAGCCACCCAGCGTGAAAGAGGGGCCTCCCTCCACACTCTAGCCTCAGGTAAAATCATGCACGAATCCCACAGCCGCGTCGAATGCCATGGTGCAAAGCAGCTGTGGGTGGCGGAACTAGACGCCCACCACCTCCACGCCTGCAGCCAGCCCGAGGGGGGATCTAGTGGGAGGATGCTTCCTCCAGACCAGAGCCCAGCAGTGCTGTGTGCTTCTGTTTTCCATGTATATATTTATAGCACAATTATTATCACCTCACAGTGACGTTCTTGTGACCTCAAGGTTAGGACTAACTGGATTATATTGAAAGGATCTAGACAAAAAGAAGAGAATTACTTTTCAATGTAATTTGATAAATACATTTTCATGCAATTTTAGTTTAGTGTAAGAAAGCTTTTATGGTACATTTGGAATATATATGCAATCACAAAGAAGAAAACAAAATCATTCCTAATCTAAAAGGCAGGAGAAGAGGGTGGCAGAGGATGAGATGGTTGGGTGGCATCACTGACTCAATGGACATGAGTTTGAGCAAACTCTGGGAGATGGTGAAGGACGGGGAAGCCTTGCATGCTGCAGTCCATGGGGTCCCAAAGAGTCGGACACAATTGAGTGACTGAACCGCAGCAACCTCATTCCCAGAGAGAAAGCCTTGTTAATGGGTGTGGTCGGTCAGATTAGGCATTTCTACCGTAAGCATCACACAGTTCCTGAAAAGACTCAGTTTTGCAAAATTTTAAAAACAAGACTAGGATGGAATAGACTGTCAAAACCTCTGGCACTTTGCAACTAGAGCCCTGGCAGAAATGGGTAATGGATCCAAACACCCCTCCAGGGAACCCTTGGCGAGATCTGGAGAACTTTGTGGGTCAGGACGGGGCTGCTCTGGGCGCGACCAGTGGCGGCCAGGGGTGCCGCCCACAGCATAGCACGCACAGGACAGCCCCACGCAAGGTGCCGTCAGACACCACACCGTCAGCAGAGCAGAATTCCAGGGACCCGCCCTGGCCACTCCCTCCCCAGGGCCAGCCCAGCCTTCCCTCCCTGTGGGGAGGCCGCCCACCGCCTTCCCCTCACCTATCCACTCCTGACGCCTTTATCTTTTGTTTTATTGTGTGCATGCTCAGATGTGTCCCACTCTTTGCAACCCCAGGGGCTGTAACCCACCAGGCTCCTCTGTCCACGGAGATTCTCCAGGCAAGAATACTGAAGTGGGTTGCCATTTCCTTCTCCAGCGGATCTTCCCAACTCAGGGATCAAACTCACATCTTCTGCACTGGCAGGCAGGCTCTTCACCTCTGAGCCGCCTGTAATTCATTTGCAAACACACATCTGCACAAAAGCGCAGAGACAAGGCGGATGCGCCCTGGTCCTGGAGACCCCACAGTCCAGACGGAAGATAATCTGGACAACTCCCGTTTGCTTTCCGTCCGTTAGTTCACCTAATCTTACAGCACTTCCCTGGTAGCTCAGACGGTAAAATTCTGCCTCTCATGCAGGAGACCCGGGTTCCATCCCTGGGTCAGGAAGATCCCTGGACAAGAGAATGGCAACCCACTCCAGTATTCTCGCCTGAAGAATCCCATGGACGGGGGAGCCTGATGGGCTGCAGTCGTTCGGGTCACAAAGAGTGGGGCACGACTGAGCGACTAACACACTTCACACACGCAGTCACCACCGCCCACGAGGAAGGCCCGTGATAACCTTCACTTCACAGACACAGAGGTCGGTGTGTGAACAGTCACGGCAGATGAGAGCCACCGTTAGCACGCAGACAACCCAACACCCCTCCAGGGAACCCCTGGCAAAATCTGGAGAACTTTGCTGATGTCAGGACTGGGGTGTCAGGGTCAGAGGCTACAGGGTCACAGCCAACATTCATGGACTTTTCCCATGCCAGGGGCTATGGATAAAGCGGTGAGCAAAGGCACTAAATAAACACAATTTACTGTGACAATTGGTTGCTTTAATCATATACAGAAAATTACA